TCTCCTTGTTCCTGGCTGACACCAGGCGGCTGGAGAAGGGGACAACACGCCAGGCCATCTCATGCGACAGAGACACTCCCAAAGTGACAGCAGGTTGCCCCTTTCACAGATGAGGGCATCAAGGCCAAGTCATAGGGTTCAAACAGAGGTCACGTGGACCTCCAGGCCTGTGGGGCTCTAGCGCTGCGCTGGGTACTGTTACTCAGATTCGGTCCCCAGAAGACCTGCAGCCTCATGACCCAAAGCCACAGTGTTTGGCACAGGGACAAGAGCATACAGAGGAGAGGGTGGCACTCAGGGAGCCGGGCACAGGTGTGTTCAGGAAGCAGTCAGAGCCCTGCGGTGGGGGACAGAGAGTGGCTCTCTGTGCAGCCTGAGGCTGAGAGCAGCAGGCTGCAGAGGCCTCTGTAGGAGCCCCTGCCCTGGAACTCTGTCTCAGATCAGGAGGAGAATGGAGACCGGTGCCACCCTGAGAACTTCCTGGGGGGCTATGAGGCCACCGAACCCCACCGACACAGAGTGAACCGGCCCACATCCCTCCAGGTCACCTCTTCTGGCTGCCCACCTGGATTCAGCCAGCCCTGTGGCTCGTGGGCTTTGCTGAGTCATGGGCAGTCAGCTCTCTGGCCTGCCCTTTCTCCTTCCTGGCTTAAGCCCAGTGGCAGCTGCTGTCACCACAGGACATCACAGGCTGGGAGGAGTCACCTGCTGCATGATCCGGCCAGGAAGAAGGCCAGCACGCACCCCCAGGACCAAAAAAAAAAAAAAAAAGGTTGGCAGAGTCCCCTGTGCCCATTTCCAGAAGACTCTCTCTGCACCCAGGCTGGCTCCATGCAGGGGCAACAGCTCGGCCCTCGGCAACTCAAGCTCTCACCATCTGTGCGCTCCAGGCCCTAGACCTCCCTTCCTCCCCACCCCCACTTACTCTGCCCACAGTCACATTGGGAAGTTCCTGCTCTGAACCCCAAGTTCCCTGCTCCACGCCAGCACCCCCACTGAGCACCCTACACCTCAGCTCCAGACAGAGAAGGGGTGCTAGCCCATGCACCTAACATAGTTCCCCATCTTCCTACACCGCTGCGGCGAGACCCTGGGCCCCATGGTCAAACCCAACCCTGCCGCCCTAGCCCAGGTGACTGCAATCGCAGAATCTCCTCACAGACACTGAGGGGAGCGCACGCCAGCGGGGGCGATGCCCACTGCCTGCTCTCTGCTCACCCTGGTCCCACCCTCCTCACATCAGCCTTGCTCCTATGTTACTGGCCCCCTTGTCCTCCAGCACCCCAGGAGATCTCTCTGTGTCCCTCACTTCTGCAGCTCCACTGTGGCCAGGCCCTGGCCCTCACAGGGGCCCAGGCACCCAGTTCCACTGCTGCTGTCCCCAGGACATCAGCACACAGCTGGTGCAGCACCTCCCCCTTGGGAATACAGCACAAAGACACAGGTACCAGGCCCAGAGCAGAGCAGCTGTCCCCTGGGCACCCTGTTTGCCCACAGTGTGGTGTGCAGTGGGGAAGCAGCAACAGGGCACCTGATCCCCACCCATGCTCTGCCATTTAGGCGGGGGCCTTGTGACTAGTTCTCTCAAAGGGGCTGGAAATCAAAGCAGTGTCAGTCACCTGCAGGCTTTTAAGAGGTGGCGTTGCCATCCTCTTCCCCACTATGGCCCGAAACTTTGGGCACAGTGACTGTGGATGACAACTCAGAGCCACAGGACAAGAGAGCGTGCACTCCAGACACCCCTTAGAGGAGAGCACCCCCACACACTCAGCCACACCTACTTGGGATTTAACAAGATCAAGACGGAAACTTCCGTGGCATTTGAGCTGTCATACTGCCATACACATTGGGCACTGCTTGTCACAGCAGCCAGTATCACTGTCTTGGTTACTTTCCTCTCATTGCTGTCACAAAACACCCAACACCCAAAATGAAGGAAGGAAAGGTTTATTTAGCTCACAGTTTGTGGAGGTTTCAGTCCATAATCTGCTGGCCGCGGGGCAGGGTCACAAGGCAGAGGGGCAATGCTTCAAGGCAGTAGCCAGCAAAAGCAGCCAGAGCAAAAGGGAAGAACACGCCTCTTTTCTTTCCTTATATTGTGAGCAGGCTCCCACCCTCCACAATTCACACCTCCTCTTGCACAGGCTGAGAATATTTACAAAGTAAGGACCTGGCTCCCTGCTGAGTCTGTTAGTTAAACTTCTAAATTTCTCAAATTGACAATGTATCAACCATAACAATCATTCTGCCTCCTTCAACCCACTCCCCATTTCCCAGTTTCTCCATAAATTATTCCATTTCTTGTATCCACCAATTCCACTTCCTCTCCTCCAACTCTCAGGCGAACCCCATTCCCATCTGCATTTCACCCCACAGTCATCAGCAAGCCTCAAGCTGCAGTCATCAGAGAAGTCCTGGCTGCCACACCCACCGAGTGGCTCCCAGCAGACCTGATGTCCTTGATGACTCCGACAAATGCTTTCTACCTGAGCTTCCGGAACAGTGTGCTGTCCTAGTTTTCATACCTGGCTGGTTTTCCCTCTCACTGTCTTTCACTGGTCCCTCCTCCCTTCCTGACCTCTGAAAATCAGAGACCTGGGGAGAGGAGACGTGAGTACGTACAGGGTAGGCTCCAGGCACACTCTTGAGGGTGGTGTGGCCAATCCAGACAGGACAAGGGAAGACAGGATGTGGGGCACTGAGGCAGGTGGGCAGCTCAGAGAATCAGAGCGCTGGTATCCGACATTGTCTATTTTTTAGTGAAACAAGAAGTAGGGCCATGTACTGAGAGAGATGGGATGGGGGAGGAAATGGAAAGTTCAAAGGAGAGATGGCATGAAAAGCTCCCCATTGTAAGGATAACAGAAATAAAGTATACTTATACAATACTATGCCAAGACAGAAGCAAAATAAACCAAGAAAACTCAATGGAAATAGAACAAGGAAAGAAAGATTTAAAGGGAAAGTATGGTAAAGAAAACATATCATGATTCAAACATATCAATAATCACAATAAATATGAACAGGTTAAAACTGGTAATCAAAAGTCAGGGACTCAGGGCTGGGGATTTAGCTCAGCGGCATAAGCGCCTGCCTTGCAAGCAGGCAATTGTGAGTTCAATCCAGGTACCAATAAAAACGAAAAAAAAAGTCAGGGACTTTTCTTTGGGGTTTTACAAGAAAATGAATGTACCTTACCTGACATATTTACTCCAAAATATAAACAATAATGGACACTAACTGATGAGTTTAAAAGTAATTTTTGCTTCTGTTAAACTTTTCAATGTTACTTGAATTTCTTGGGAGTTTATAAATTTCATAATCAGAAAAAAAATGGGGGTTGTTGTAAAAACTACCCACGTACTTCAGCAGTTCTTCATGGAACCTTCATTTGTTGTCTAAATAAGTGCTAGGATCCAAAAAGGCTTTAAGAAAGGTCCACATCCTCCAAAAACTAGCTAGACATAAGACCATAGAATCATAATAGAAGAGTGCAGGCCCATACGAAGACCAGGCTCCCCAGCTGACTTCAAGCCCTAGTAAACAGGAATAGGGGAGGAGAGCTGCCTGGAGGAGGAAGCACAGTTGGCATTAAGATCATGACCCAGGCTGAGCCTGGAGATGGCATTCAGGCTGTGGGCGCAGCACAAGGAAGAGAGGAGCACAGTGGGCCAGTATTGGGCAGAGTGGGGAGTGTGGACAGAGTAGGTGCGGGGTTCAGGGAAGCAGAGGGGCCCTGGCTGGTGAGCTGCACGGGCAGGCAGCAGGAGTGAGAGGGAGCAAAGGAAGCAGATGAGAGGAGACAGTTCTGCCGTGGACACCCTGTGTCCACCCAGCATATGAGGACAAACAGCAGGGATCCACCGCTGCACTGCACACTCATGGACACAGTGCACGCATGCTAGCACACTTATACATGCATGTACTCACGTGTACACACACACATATACCTGCACACACACCCATCTGCTGCTTCCTGTTCTCTGCCCCTTTAGCCTAGGGGTGACCACAGCCAACGGAGTTCTCTTGGCCTGCTCTGACCTCCCTGACTCCGCCTAGCTGGCCACCTCCCCTGGTAAAGCATCACCAGCTGTCCTGCCCCCAGAATGCCTAGCTCTTTAGCAGGATTTGGCAGCTGGGTGCATCATGTGGGGATGGTCAGAGGGACAGAACAGAGACAGGAGCCAGGCAGGGGAAGGCAGAGATGGAAAGACCCTCAGGAAGGGAACTGGAATCTCGGTTGCTGGGGGAGCCAGGGCAGTGAGGAGCAGGACACAAGAAAGGTGGCACTATTCCAGACAGAGAACCTGAGACAGGATTTCGTGGCTCTGGCACAGTCCCTGGGGGAAGGATTTGGAAAGGGGCAGAGATGGCAGGGTGGCTTTGGGCAGCCTGAAATCAAGGGGTTCAGAGGGCACCTGGGAAGGTCGGAAACCCCCATGCTGAGGCTTGAGAGAGGGTTACAGCAGAGCTGGTGAAGCCAGAAGGCTGCAAGTCTTGGGGTCAAGCCTAAGGCTCATGGCACCCTGCATATTCAGAGACTTCCTGCTTGCCTTCTCCCAGGTAAGCAGGACAGGAGGCCCCAGCACCCGGCCACCCTGGAGCAGCACCCACAGGCGGGTGAGATGCTGAGCTTACACATTGCTGTCTTCCTCCGTCAGAGCCAGTTAAACTTTGCCTAAGATGATGATTGTTAAACTGTCTTCCATAAGTGACCGCTGGTCACACTTTAATCCTCTCCCCACCCCCAAATCCAGCTGTCGCTGAAGGTCGTCGGAGCAGTCGCTGTGTGAGAGGGTGATGACACAGGCCCAGGTGTCAGCTGGAGCCGCCCTTTGGTGGACAGATGCTCCGTGCAGCTGGTGGCCCCTGACATGCTCCCAGCTATCCCGTTGGGGAAGCAGGTGTGGGCGCCACCATAGGACACACTTGTCACACTGACCCTGTGGCCCTGAGGTAGCCTCTGGGAAGTGGCCTCTCTTCAGCCCCCAGCAGACCCCATGGGATTTCCTGAGCTCCTGGACCAAGTTGGCGGCCTGGGCCGATTCCAGTTTCTCCAGGCAGTGGCCCTGTTGGTGCCCATCATGTGGGTCACCACCCAGAATATGCTGGAAAACTTCTCTGCAGCTGTGCCCCGCCACCGGTGTCGGGTGCCCCTCTTGGACAACAGCACCACCCAAGCCAATGGCCCTGGGACCCTGGACCCCAAGGCCCTCCTGGCTGTGTTCATCCCGCTGGGCCCCGACCAGCAGCCCCACCCATGCCGCCGCTTCCGACAACCACAGTGGCAGCTGCTGGACCCCAACGCCACAGCCACCAATTGGAGCGAAGCTGCCACAGAACCGTGTGTGGACGGCTGGGTGTATGACCACAGCACCTTCGCCGCCACCGTGGTAACCAAGGTAAGGACTGCCAGGCTACCCTCTCTAAGTCCTGGCACCTCGGAGGTCAGTCACAGGTCCCAGTTGGCTGTGCTGGGAACTCGTGGGCCTCCCTCACCTCTGGGTTGGCTCTCAGCCCCTTGTCTGCCATGCATCCCATGGGGGAAAGGATGGCAAGGACTCAGTCCCCAGGGACCACCTGAATGCAGGCTCCTCTGATGTCCACACTGTACAAGGTCTTGGCTGCTGACATCAGCTGTAATCCCTGGGGACTGGGTGACTTATTCACTGGGTCTCGGAGGCTGGGACAAATCCAAGTGGCTTCTAAAAAGGGGCATCAGCCGAATCCAGGCCTCTGGGGAGGGGCGGCTTGTCCCAGCACGGGGAATGGGTCTCTCTGTGAGAAGGGGAGGAATCAGCCTGGGGGGGCAGGGGTGTGCAGGCTCAGCTCTGGCAGCCTCTGCAGCATAGACAAGATGGAGTGGAGGGCAGAGCGGCAGAGAGGGCCTGATGGGGCCCATGAGGCAACAGAAGCTAAGCTGGGGCTTAGGCCAGCAACAAAATACTCCTCGTGAGACCCAGCTATACCCAAGGTGTTCTTGGTGTCCCCTACGGCCCTACTCCATGACCCCAGAGGCCATGTCCCTGGGGTCTGCCGCCTCCCCCCACCCCTTAGCTCTCCTGGCCTCCTGACTCTGCCCTGTTCTCTCCCCACAGTGGGACCTGGTGTGTGATTCTCAGGCTCTGCGGCCCATGGCCCAGTCTATCTACCTGGCTGGGATCCTGGTGGGTGCCGCGGTGTGTGGCCATGTCTCAGACAGGTGAGCACTGGGGGGGGGGGGGGCAGCCTGTTCCACTTTGTGACTGTCTTCTTTTTCTCCTTTTTTCTTACTGGGATTAAACCCAGGGCCACCACCTCAGCCTTTCAGAGTGCTGAGATTATAGGCCTGTGCCACCATGCCCAGAATCACTCCCACAAATTCACAACTTTACTCTGGGGTTGTAGAGCAGGAGGATTACAAATTCCAGCCCAGACTAGGCAACCAGGGGACTTAACTGAGTCCCTCCCTCAAAGAAACAAAACCTGCTGGGCCGTGCACCTGTCTTCAGTGCCGCTTAAGTGCTCCTGAGGATGGGAGACTCAGTTCCTGTTAAGTGTGCCTTGGGAGTGGATCTGGGTTCTCTATGTTCCTGGGCTCCTGTGGAGGACGGGGTGGGCCTGGCCTGAGTGCAGTAAGCACAGGGTGGGCTCTTGGGGGCCCGGCTCCCCCGGGCTGCCAATGCGTGTGTTGCAGGTTTGGGCGCAGGGTGGTGCTGACCTGGAGCTACCTTCAGATAGCTGTGTGGGGCACCGTGACCACATTCACCCCCAACTTCCCGCTCTACTGCCTGTTCCGCTTCCTGGCAGCCCTCCCGGCGGCGGGCATCATGATGAGCACGACCAGTCTCTGTAGGTACCTGGGCCGGTCCCATGGGAGGAAGTCCAGGCAGGCCCTGGCCTGACCCTGCATGTCCTTGCAGTGATGGAGTGGACAGCAGCGCAGGCTTCCCTCTTGATGATGACCTTGAACTCTATGAGCTTCAGCTTCGGCCATATATTGATTGCCGCGGTAGCCTATGGCCTACGTCACTGGACGCTGTTGCAGGTGGCCCTCTCTGCCCCTTTCTTCCTCTATTTTGTCTACTCATGGTAAGTGCTGAGTCCTCTCCCCATGGAGGAGGAGATCTCAGGCTCTCCTGGGGCCCTGATTTGGGAACTTCCTTTACTGGGGAGCAGAGGCCCTGGGTGCCAGAAATCAGGGTTGTGGAGCTGGGGCCCACTGGTGATGGAGCTCCAAAGCCCAGCACACCCCTGCAGCCCAGAACACAGGCACCCCCAGATGCATCCCTTTGCCCCAGGTGTCCCTTTCTTCCATGCACCCCCCCAAGAGCCAGCACCACTGCACTGTGACCCCCGTAGCATACACAGGCTACATTGTTTCTGGGGGGCTCAGCAGCCAACAGCTCCAGGTCCCCCCAACACTGCAGATCCCTCCTGTGGCCCCACTCCAGGTGGCTGCCAGAGTCAGCGCGGTGGCTGCTCTCCACGGGCAAGCTGGATCTCGGCCTGCGGGAGCTGCGGAAGGTGGCCTCCATTAACCGGAAGACGGCCGGAGACACCCTGACTAAGGAGGTGAGGCCAGGCCTCCCTCCAGTTCTTGCCCTCAGCTCTCGCCCTGACTCTGCTCAGGGTCCCAGCTGCACTGGGATAAAAGTCTCTGGGAGAGAGCTGCTGGGAACCTCAGGGCCAGAGCCACCTCACCCCACAGGCCTTGCTCTCAGCCATGAAGGAGGAATTGCATGGGGCTCGGGCTTCCGCCAGCCCCAGTGTCCTGTTCCACACGCCCAGCCTGCGCCTGCGCCTTTGGATCTCCATGCTATGCTGGTAGGTGCCTGCCTACACCTCCCCTGCAGTCCGGCAGGAACCACTAGGCCTGGTAGCTCCTTGAGGGGCTGTCGGCATTGAGCAGATAGCAGGAGGATTCATGGCCAAGACTAAGGCGCTGGGCCACCTGTAGGGCAAATAGGACGGAGGCGATCAGGGAGCCACAGGCAAGCATAGGCACCCACCAGGAGTTGGGGCTACTGTGAGAACCCAGGAGCCTGGCGACTCAGCAAAGACCAAAGCCACTGTAGCATGGAGAGAGGCAGGAACCACAGAGGGACGTGGCCACTGCCAGACAAAGCGACCAAGGGGAGAAGGAAACACCCCTGGTTTCTGCCTTCTCCACCTGGGTCTGCACCCCAGCTTCTCACAAGTGTTTCCTATTGACCAATCCAAGGAAGGGGCCCCTCAGCAAATGGGAAGTAAGGTCACAGACCAAGCAGGAGAAGAGCAGCCCTAAGGCCAGCCCCTTCTCTGTCCCCACCCAGGTTTGCCTTTGGCTTCACCTTCTATGGCCTGGTCCTGGACCTCCAGACCCTAGGCAGCAATGTCTTCCTGATCCAGGTTCTCATCGGGGTCGTGGACATCCCCACCAAGATAGGCACCAAGCTGCTGCTGGGCCGCCTGGGCCGCCGGCCCTCACAGGCCGGCTCCCTGATGCTGCCTGGCCTCTGCATCCTGGCCAACACGTTGGTGCCACACAGTGAGTGGTGCAAGCGCCCAAGGGAGGCTTCCCTACCTGTGGGCTCAGGGTCAGAGACACAGCAGCAGCCCGGCTAGCAGGGCACTGAATGAGCTGTGTGTGGCTGCAGGGGAGAACTGGGTGATGGACTTCAGCAGGACAGGATAGGCGCGGAGGAAGACCCCTAAGGTCTGGCTCTGGGTGGGTACAGCTTAGAGGTATGATCAGAAGTCGCTTAGGGTGCAGTGTGGGGTCTTGGATGCAGGGGGCATCCAAGACCCCACACATGTAGAAACATTTTGCACCCTTGGAGAAGCCTCGGGGATAAAGGGAGCCCCGGGGTCGGAAGCCAATCCTGCCAACCTGTGTCTGTCTGCAGACATGAGTTCACTGCGTTCCACTCTGGCTGTGCTGGGACTGGGGTCCCTGGGGTCCACCTTCAGCTGCATCACAGTCTACAGCAATGAGCTCTTCCCCACAGTGCTCAGGTGAGGCTGGGGGCAGGGGGATGGGGCCAGCAGGGGGGAGGGCATTCTGGACTCCAGAGCTTGAGCCAATGTCTCCTTCCAAGTGCATCCCAGTCAGGCCCCATGCCCAGGGCGGACCCTGGCATAAGGCCAAGGCCAAGGGCCAGGAAGCGGTTCTTCACAGGTGCATCTGCCCAAGCAGGATGACGGCCGTGGGCCTGGGCCAGATGGCTGCCCGAATGGGAGCCATCCTGGGGCCTCTCGTCCGGCTGCTAAGCATCCACAGTCCCTCGCTGCCCCTGCTGCTGTACGGGGCAGTGCCGCTGCTGAGTGGCTTAGCTGCACTGCTACTGCCCGAGACCCGGAACTTGCCACTGCCTGACACCCTCCAAGACCTACAGAACCAGTGAGTAGATGGGCCTGGGACCCCTCCTTTCCTGCTTCCCTGCCTCCCAATTCTCCCTTCCTCCAGCGAACCCCAGAACAGACGAGGGGGAAGTAGAAGCCCAGAGAAGGGCAGGACCAGCCCAGACCCATTTGGCACATCCATGGGAGAGTGGAGGCCCAGGGCTGAGTCTGTGGCCACCAGGGTGGCTTTACCTTGCGCCCTTTGTCCCACTGCAGGGCAAAGCCCAAATGGCCCGGCGACCCCACCTCTGTTTCAAGAGGTGCCAAGGGAGAGGTGTACGGGTGTCACTCCTCCCCCTGGCGGGGTGTATTAGCTGTTGTTGGGGTCTCCACTGGCCCCAGACTAAAGCTTCAAATGTCTGGCAGTGGTGTCACTGCCTGTGTCACCCCCACGATGTGCTGAGGAGGCTCAGTCCTAAGCTGGGAGCAAGATCTCCCAAGTCCTCAGGGTAAAAAAAGGTCAAGAGTCAGAGGTCACTCAGCACCCTGAGACATATCCGCCACCCCATTCTGGAACAGGACAGTAAAGAAAGCGACACATGACACACCAGGGCCCTCCATCCTGGCATCCACAAGACTCTAGCCATCTACAAGCTCACGGCAGGGTGAAGAGGAAGAGGAGACAGCTTCCGGGGACAACAGAGATGCTTGAAGGCCTCTGATTCTGGGGACCCAGGGCTGCCCTCTCTTGGAGCCCCCTCACTGTCAGGATCTCCCTCTGGCACAGAAAGGTCAAAGGACACTTAATTGGCAGGTATCTGCCCTATGCACTGTCACCACGCTAACGCCCTCGACTTCTATGGCTGCCTGGTCAGGGGACACCTCTCACTCCTCTCAGCCAGTGCCCAGCAGCCCCGGGGCTCACAGCTGATTGCCGTCTCCCCTGGCTCAGCACCAGCTCAAAGTCTTAGCCCCTCAGTGTCACCCTGGCCTGTGGCAGCCTGGCCCAGTCACTTTGGCCCACAGCCACCCTCTCCACACTCTTGCACAGGCTTGGCAATGTCCCCTGCCTGCAGTCCCTTGCCCACCTCCATGCCTGACACTCTTTTCCATGGCGCAGGGCCAGCCCAAGACCTGGTGACTCCCTGACCCATGGTCACGGCCACGTACCTGTCTTCCTCCACCCACTGCCAATGAGTCCCCCGGAGGCCAAGAGGCCTCAGGTATATCCCAGCGCTGGCTGGAGATGTGTCCACATGAGCAATAGAATAAAGAGTCGAGAATGGGACAAGGTACAACTGCCACTCCGTGACACTTGCCAGGAGCCCCAGGGTCTCCCCTGGTGGACAGGGAAGAAGACTGAGGCCTTCTCCGGGCCAGCTGTCCTGCCCCAGGTGCTGGGCTCCTCAGAGGACCAGCTCCTTTCTCCTGAGCCTGGCACAGTAGAAGCTGCCTCACTTTACAGATGGGATGACCGAGGCTCACAGCAGGACTCAGGCCCTGAAACATAAGCTGAAGTGCACAGCTCTGATCACAGTGCCCTGGGCAGATAGGGATGCTTCTTGAGAGCAGTGGCAGGGCTTCCTCATGCCTCCCAGAGGAGCCAGGGCCCCCCACAATTTAAAAAAAGAAAGGCAGGCAGCACAGTGCTCTGCAGAGCCACTCCTGCAGGCAGCAGCTGGGTCCCCAGAGCCCAGGCACCCCGCATAGATGTGTGCACACATGTGCACACACACAGAAAGGTCAACGGCTGGGCCTCAGGGGGCAGAAGCCCTGCCCCTGCCCCTGCCTGGTCTTAACTGCAACCCCTGACCTCCAGGCCATGTTGGTTGGCCACTTGCCTATGGCCACCTCAGCGAAGAGACCTAGACCAACACGATGAAGCAGGAATCATGGATGGGCATGGTGGCGCCCACCTAGAACCCCAGCACTCAGGAGGCTGAGGCAGAAGGATCAACAAGAGTTTAAAGTCAGCCTGAACTAATGAGCTCAAGATCAGGCTGGACTGCCTGGCAAGCTCGAGATCCTGAGTTTGGTTCCTGGTACTAAAAAAATTAAATTAAAAGTAAATAAAGCAGGACTCACGTCTGCAAAGATACTCCATGACAAGCCTGTCTGCACATGCTGGCTTCTGTCCTGTGTTACTCACTTCCTGACTGACAGCAGCCCCCTAGCCTCCTTCTACATTCTTGGGGCCGTGGGGTGTCCAGAAGCTTCCAGAGGCAGAACCCAGAAGGAAAATGGCCCCTGCTCTCCCCCAAGCTGTACCTCCTGCTCACCAAGCAAGTCAGGCTGTCCTCTCCCCACACTCAGAGTGGCCTCGTTACTGGTCTTTCCGGGGAGATGACTATCCAGGACCCAGTGTATGCTGCCTCCAGGGTGTGTCGCCCCTCTGCTAGCTGAACAAGACTGGCCACTGAAGGCTGTTTTGGCAGTGAGCTGGGTCCCCATGGCCAAGTATGTACCCTGCCAAGGCAGGAGGCCTCTGCCACACACAGGGCCTCCCCTAAGGGACATATCCTCTTTCTAACGCCCTCCATGGGTCTCCTGACTGCTGACACTACTGGAGACCCTACCACGGAGGGGCCAAGGGAAACGGGTATGGGGAAGAGGGACTCAGGACAGCAGAGGCCTCAGGTGGTGGGGACCCAAGAAAGGGGCTTGGGACAGTCAGTCCTGCCCCAGCCAAGCCATAGCTCACTCCAACGCTTGTACCTGGAGGGACAGGGTGGGCACTCCTGGCTCTGTACCCACCCCAAAGCGGGGCTTGAGTGACTGGGCCATTCTTCAAGGACCAGAAATCAGCCAAACTCCACCTCCAGCTTCCACAAGCCCCTGTCCTTGGTACCCAAGGAGTAGTCTCCTGACATCCCTGGAGATCTCTGTCCAGCAGCCTAGCTCTGGGGATTTCAGGAATCCCCAGATGTTCTTTGGGCCTCCTCTGGGCTCCCTGTCCAGCGAGCCACACCCTCAAGAGCCCCACACAGGCCAGGTGCTACCCTCAGGGCCCAGTGCAGGGAGACGTCTGTACACAGGGAACACTGGGACAGCAGCCCTGCCTGGGAACCTCGCCTCTTCCAACAGAGCCCTGGAGCAAAGGAGCTCATGGCCTCCTCCGAGCGGGAAAGAGAGTCCCACAGCCACCTGGCCACGGGGACCCAGGCCATCTCCCCCCACCCCACTCTCAAAAATTCACTTAGGGCCACTCTAAAAATTCCTGGAATAAGATGTTCCTGCCCTCTTGCCTCAGGAACGCCTGCTTGCCTGCCTGCCTGTCTTCTCGACCAGCAACAATGGAGAAGGGAGATAAGCCCTGTCCCTGGGCAGAGCGGTCACAGGGGCCTTGAGGCACAGGGATAGCACTTCCTGGCAGCTCCCCAGAGTCCCACAGATGGTGAAAGGTGACCTCGGGTCACCAACCCAGGCTCCAAGACAGGGAGCACCTGGGCCAGCAGGGCTGGAGTCTCAACCCCAAGGGGGCAGAGAGGCCAAGTCCCTGGAAGTCCCCCCTTGGGGATGGTGGGGTACCTGCTCTCTCTGGATAGGACTTTGAAGGACTCTCGAAAAGCCTGAGAGAGCTGTGGAGGGCAGGAAGACACACACTCCTTGCCATATGGGGGGGGGCAGGCGAGCCGAGCTCAATTCTGAAGGGCCAGTATCCTGCCCAATGGCCCCCACGGGCTCTCAAGAGGATGAACCCAAAGCTGGGTCAGGCACTGGGACTGGAAAAAGCCTCCCTCAGTCATGGGCCACCCATCACCCTGTGGGCAGTGGAGGGTGATATGCAATAAGGGCCAGAGACAGCACTGGGAGGAGCGGGAGGAGCCCCCTCCAAGGCAGGGAGGAGCCCTGAGGGTTTGTCTCATATCAAGTATCAAGGACCTCCCGGGGATCCAGACCCTCCTCCAGGGACACCGCACCGTGGGGGTCCTTGTGAATCTGCATCTGCTTCCTGTCCCCCACCACCACCCATGCAGGTCCCCAGAGCTGAGGACTCCACGGTGGCTGCTGGCTGGAACTGGGGACAGGAAAGCCCTAGGGTCCAAGATTCTGGTGGCACTGGGAAGGGGCAGAGACTGGAAGAAGGGGCCAGACGCAGCTGGGACTAGGCCCCTGCCCCCTGGAGCCTGATGTCCTCATAGGCCACTTCCCTCCAAGGCAAGCAAGGCTCAGGCAGCATCTCTCCTGCCCTAAGTCAGCACCTGGCATCCACAGCCCTCGAGGTCCAGCCACCAGAGCCAGAGGCCAGCCAGGCCCCAGAGCACAGGCATCTCCTCGGGACGATGCACAGCAGGACCTGGGGTTAGGCAGGACTATGTGGGGAACCCAAAGACCCGATCAGGTTCCAGGGTGACTTACCGGCTCTCTGGGGCCCCAAGCCAAGATCAGGGTCCAAAAGGCACCCACCCCAAACAAACTGCACAGGACTGTTGGAATTTGGAAAGTTTTTGTTTTCTTTTTCCCACACATTTCCGGGGTTGGGGTGTTTTCCAAGACTCAGACACATTTGTTAACAAAGAGAGGGGAAAAAAAACTAGGGGAGCAGGGAGCCCATGGGCCAAGAGGTGACCCCAGCAGACGCCGCCTTGCTCCCTCCTTTCCCTGCGCCGCGCCCCGCGGTGCCACAGGCTGCTGCTCTGGTATCTAGATTATTTGTCTTTAATATATACCTGCATTTGCCTCTCCCCGCCCCCCGCCCCCCACCCGGCTCCTCCAGCAGCTTCCCCAGCAATGCACGTTGCCCGGCGGCACTCAGAACAGACCTTAGCCAGGCCTGAACCCTTCCCTGGGCGGCCCACGGGGGTGGCACCTCTCCTGGTGAGGGGAGCTGGAGCATTTAGGGCCCCGCTGCTCCCCACCCACCCACTGGGCTGCTCCAGGCCCCCCTCCCGCCCTTCTCCCACCAACTCTGGACACCCAAAAGGAGAAATGGGAGAAATCTGATACACACACCAAAAAAAGAAAAAGAGAAAAAAGAAAAGAAAAAGAAAAAAGAAAGAAGAAAACAAAAGAGGAGAGGGAGGGAAGGAGGGTGGGGGCAGAGTGAGACACAGCAAGCCCGGGAGGGGACTGCTGGGTTTGGGAAGGGAAGGAAGGCGGGAGGGACAGACGCAGAAGAAAATTTGAGGGCAATGAACAGGACACATAGTGGGCACTTTACAAAACCCCCAGCCTTCCTTCCCACCCAACCCCACCAAAATAAACCTACCCTCCCCTTAAAAAAATAAATCAACCCAGGGCTGTGAGCTGTGCCCTGCCCGCGGCCTCGAGGCTGACAGTGCGGTGCCGCGGGCAGCGGGAGGAAGGGGACGAGCACGGGAATATTCCTTTTTCCTTTTCTGTTTTTGCATCTCCTCTTCTGAGAGAAGCCAGAGGCAGCGGGGAGAGGTCCCCAGCCCCGCGGGGAGAGGGCCGCCCCGTCCTCCCCGGCCGGCCGGCAGTCCGTCCGGGAGGGGCGGCTGGCAGTGGCGCGCCGGCTGGGGCTCAGACGTAATACTCCTTGTCTTTGTTCTTCTTGGTCTTGCTGGGCGTCTTGGGCGCGGCCTGGGCCTTCTCCTTCACCACCGCGCCGTTGCTCTGGGCCGAGTTGCTGATGTAGTTCCGGCTCTGGTCCACCTGGTAGGAGCCCTCGTCGCGGTTGCGGTACTTGTACATGGCGTAGAGCAGGATGAGGATGCAGAGCGCCGCGGCGGCCACGATGCCCACCACCATGCCCGTGGTGCTGCTGGACTCCCGGATCACCTCCACCGCGCCCGGCGGGCCCCGCTCCCCCGCGCCCGTGGGGTTGGCTGTGGGCAGAGCGGGGAAGCCGGGGGCTGAGGTCGCGCCGCCGGGGCGCAGAGGCGGGGGTCTCCGCGGCTCGAAGGACGTGGGGGCCCCGGGCCCCGGGGGCGGGTTCTCCAGCAAGGGCTGCAGCGGGTCTCGGTGGTTCATTTTGCCCGCTGGCAGGTTGGGGGCGGGGGCGGAGGGGGCGAGCAGCACCCCGGGGGCGCCGGTGGCCCCGTCTGTCCTGAGGTTGGGCCGGGGGGCGGGTTTGCGGGGCGACAGGAGGGTGGTGCGGTCCGTGACTAGGGGGAAGGTGGTGTAAAAGTCCTCGTCGTCCGTGGGGGGGAGGCTGGAGTCAAAGACCTCCCCGGAGGCGAAGCCCGAGGCCTCCATGGGCTCCTCGCAGTCGCTGTCGTCGTGCTCGGCCCGGCACGGGCCCCCGGGGGGCGGGCGGCGCGCGGCGGGCGGGGGCAGGGTGTCCTGCGTGGCGCCCACGCCCGGGAGGAAGGGGTAGAAGGTGGGGGGCGGGGGCACGAAGGGGGAGCGGGTGGCCACAGGAGGGGGATCTAGGGAGTCCTCCGTGATAATGGGCAATATTAACTCTCCTCCTAGAAGAAGAAAGAGAAGAGAGAAGAGGGGGCGTCAGTGGGGGCCGGGGCGCGGGCGGCCGGCACAGAGAGAGAAACAACAGCCTCACACACCCGAATCGGTTGCAATCGGCCTTGGCGGAGACTAGAGCGGGCCGGGCCCGCCGCCAGCGGCCGGAGCGAGCGCCGCGCTTTAAGCGGCTGCGGCTCGGATGCCCTGGGCACCTCGCGCGGGCTCTGCGACTCTGGTTACTTTTTTTTTTTTTTTCTTTTTTTCTTTTTTTCTTTTTGGTCTTTTGTCTAAAGAAACCAAAAGGAACAGAAAGGAAAGGAAATCGAAAAGAAACAGAAAAAGGAAAAAAACTCTACTGGTTTAAGGATTTAAAAACAGATACAACAGCAGCATTTAAACAAACCTAACGACAATATCTTTTAGGTTTTTTTTTTTTTTTCTATTTTTTTTTTTTTTTTGCTTTTGTTTTTGTTTTTGTTTTTAAAAAAGAAGATAGCATACCACGGAATTCAGGCAACTTACATCAACAAATAGGCCGTGTGATTTTAGCATGAAGAAAAAAATTACAAACAGAGCTGTGTAAGCGGGTTCTCCCGGAAAAAAAATAAGAAAAAACAACTTTTCCGTACAACGTTTTCTATCTGTTTGGTAACTCCCTCCCTCACTCTTTTCTCCCTGACATCTTCCTCCTGAGTCCTTGCTCTCCTCCCTCACTTGGTTCCCTTTCCCCCAAAACTGAGGAACTGTTACCACCACCTG